TATGAAAATGACACTAATAGGCGGCGCGAGTTTAGCCAAATAATGCTAGACAGACATTTACAAAATAAAGAATTTATGGGTTCGTAACACCGCTATTGAAACTATTACATTGCCGCAACAACAACTATTACTACTTCTAGTGTTACTACTACAATTACTACTACCACAGAATAAATAGCTACTTATATAGCTATTTATTCTGTGCTACTACCTACTAACTATCACCAGCTTCACCAGTACCACTACTACTATTACCACTGCCACTATGTTTGATATTGCTATGATTTATTTTTATAATTTATTAGATTCTATCTTGTGGAATTTTCATAAACTCATTAAACTCACAGAAAGATTCCCCACAATTTTTATCTTAACTATTTTTGTCTAACTCAAAAAATAAAAAAGTTAATGGGGGTAAAATGTTTATATGAATAACCCTGTACATGGTGAATCACTATATTTTAACCCCTCCATTAACTTTTTTGTTTAAAGAGTTATAAAAAAATAATGTGAAATACAAAAATTGCACTATTTTTTATGAACTTTTTGAAATTGATAGTAGCAAAAATGAAATCCAAACAAAACGGACGCGGATGTTAACTTTGTTGATTTAAATGGAACGCCCTGTATATTTTTACATATTTTGATAGAACGCTTCCGGTCGAGCATAGTCATATAAGGTTTGTTGAGTCAACCTCTAACAATAAGTGAGATAATATTAAAAAACGAAAAGAATTAAGAAAATAAGTCATTTTGTAATTGTTAGACCTCTTTCGGGCATTTCTGACTTTTTCCAATTACGTAACGATTTAGATTGCGTATAGGTATTTTAACTAAATCTCAATAATTAGGCCGTGAGAGGCATATTTACTCATGGACAATATTATATGGTAGGCCGTGACAGCGACAGGTAATGCCATGACAACATTGTTATTGTTTGATGGTTTGTATTATTATTTAATTAAAATGGGTTACACAGAAGTAGAAAATTGAAATATTATAGGAATTAAAATACATAGAGTAAGTTATTTTCCATACTCTATTTTAGTTCCTAATAATATTTCAATTTTCTACTTCTATGTAACTCGTTTTAATTAAATAATAATACAAACTGTGAATCAATAACAATGTCATCATTGCATTACTACCTGTCACTGTCACGGCCTGCCATAGAACATTGTTCATGGGTAATTAGGCCTCTCACGGCCTAATTAGTGAGATTTATATCAATGTCCGATATGTCAAAATATTACTGTATCTGTATCTGTAAATCCTTACGTAATTGGAAAAAAAAGCAAAAATGTCTAAAAGAGGTCTAACAATTAGAAAATGTCATATTTTCTTAATAAAAGACATTTTATTCGTTTTTTAATATTATCTCGCTTATTGCTAGAGATGGGCCCTACAAACCCTATATGACTATACTAGATAGGGAACGTTCTATCCAAATATGTAAAAATATACAGGGTGTTCCATATAAAATAACAAAGTTAACATCCGCGGTCATTTTTTTTGGACTTCATTAGTTTGTCTACTATAATTTTCGAAAACTTCATAAAAAATAGTGTAACTTTTATATTTCACATTTTTTTATAACTCCTAATACAAAAAAGTTAAAGGGGGGGTCAAAATATAGTGAATCATCCTGTACCTAAACTATAACCATTTTCGAGATATCAAACTTTGAAAATCATTTTCTTATAAATATCTTATACAAAAATATTTTATTTCATTAAGTTTATAGTCCATCAAGTTAACTTTGAAAGTTTCTAGCTCCATAACAACGCCGCTTCGTTCTTTTGTCTAACAGTGTGTCTTGCCTAGACACAAAAATACATTTAGTGTGAAATTTTTTCTCGCACAAATGGAACGTTTAAATGAAACTGAACGTATTGAAGTCTTAATGAACGTGGTGAAAAAGACGAGGTTGTGACGAAGTAGTGAACATTTTTCATGAATTGCATCCCGATCGGGAACGTATTTCTCAATCAACCATTTCAAAAATATTGCAGCGTTTTCATGAAATTGGAGATATTATAGATCGACGAAAAAGTGGAAGACCAGTTTGAAAGTTTCTAGCTTGTTACTGAGCTAGAAGCTTTGAAAGGTAACTTGATGGACTATAAACTTAACGGACTAAAATATTTTTGTATAATTTATAAGAAAATGATTTTCTCGAAATTGGTTAACTGTTACATAATGTGCTATACGAATTGTGTTTAGAATTTCGAGAAAAATTGAAACATGGAATAATAAAGAAAGCGAATTTGTTTCGTCAGGACTTTTTGATTGATCCTGTATACTTAGTTTTTCTTTATTATAATAGATTTAAAAAAACGCTAAAACCTTTGTGTCTTAAAAATTTTATATAGCTATCTTACTTTAGGAGATAATCGACCATTTCCAAACATATCATCGACACCATATTTTATTATACAGTGTGTCTAAGATAAGGATGGAATGGCATTAGGATCTAGGAAACGGTAAGAGATGCGGGATGGCTCCAATTATAAAAAAGTTGTGATTTTTTATACCTAACAATATGCCGTTTAGAAAGTTTTAATATTCCAAGTAGTTCCGGAGATATACGGAAAACCCGGAATTTTGCAAAATCGTTTTATTTTTTTTTGGCTTTATTTGAAAACGAATTTTAAACTAAATTGTATATTTACAATGCCACTTTTATGTAGAAATATAGAATGGCGTCAACATTTTTGTAATCCGACGTTTCGTCTTCGAGGGGCCATCATCAGATTAATTTTTTTAAATACGTCGCTGCTATTTTAATAACAAAACCTAAAGTCATTTTTAATTCTGAATTAGATGATATTACTATTGTAATCGTATTGTAAAAGGGTTTTTAGCTTGTTTAAGCTATCATTTAAAATTTTTCCCGAGCACGGCTCTGAACGTTTTCAAAATATCAATTGGAGGAAATCATAACGGTATTAAAGTCAATACAGGACAAACAATTTTTTTACAACTATTAGCTGTAGTAATTAGAAATAATAAAACATTTCTTAAATTCATATTATTTTTTTCTTAGGTACAACTTTCTTAAATTACTGATTAAAAACGATTTTGCAAAATTTCGGGTTTTTCCGGATATCTCCAGAACTGCCCGGAATTGTAAAACTTTCTAGACGACATATTGTTAGGTATAAAAAACACAACTTTTTTCTAATTTGAGCCACCCCGTATCTCTTACCGTTTCCTAGATCCTAATACTATCCCATCCTTATCTTGAACACATTTTATATGTCTACATAAACCATTGTAAGTTATAGTGTGTATAAGTAAATATTTATACAGGGTGTTCCAATATATAGATATACAAACCATTAATAAAATCAATAAAAAAAAAATTGGATCAAATATTTGACTTGGAAATTTCTATACTTTNATATAAGCCATTACCCAACCAGTACAATTAATTTCTTTTAGGTATATTTTACCTTAAATTAACCTCCCTATTTTCCAAGTAGGTACGTATTTCTGACTTAAAAGTCAATTTTTTAAGAAAATATTCTGATAGTCATTTTTTCTGCATAGTTATTATAACTGTAAAACAATATATGTTGTAAATGACGCAAATACACTCTTTGGGCCAACGAAAGTACCTACCTACTTCGTCTAGTTCTCATCAACTGTGATAAAGATGAAATAACATTTAGCGATAATCGGTACGAAAGATAGTTGGCAATTGGCTATTTTGTTTGGCGAATGAAAATAAACAACAAACTTACCACACATATCTGAAAATGCGCAGGCACGATTATATGTTTTTGTTTATGCTTAGGTACTTATATATAAAAAAAATAATTTGCCGCCGACATAGCTGTAGAATAAACTAACCTTAAATAATAATGGTATAACCTAAAAGTTTTGAGACTAGGAAGATATTTTAACCCATCAGCAACGTTGAATAGTTGATTTAAGTAAATACCATACTAGTCAGCGGTTCTCAACAAATTTTCTATTAAAAAGAATTATGCATATTTGTTTTAATGTTTTTCTCATTTTTTTTTCACAAAAGCTATTAGTAAATTGTACACTGTTTAAGTATATGTACAAATTTAAAATTCACAGCTTGTCCAAGTTTGATCCTGTTTGATTGTTGCATATATAAGCATTGTGTATGGTTTATACTCCAGAGTTAACTTGCATTTCACTCAGTAAAGTTCGTCTCATCGATTTGAGTGTTTCATTTTCTGCCAACGTCTGATCAAGTAACAAAACTTATTGCGATGTCGATCACCAAATTTGCATCATGCTGAAGTTAATAGTTTAGAGACTGTAAATAAAAATAACTTTTTAATTTTCACCGTTGAGGGCCTGTAACTTATTAACGAAGGTCTGTATAAATAAAATTATTAGAAGAAATTATATTATTTTGATCTCATCTATTTCTTACTCAACTTTTTGTATCAGGTATCGGGATACACTGTGTATGTGACGACTCGATTATTTTTGCAATTATTAGTGTCCATAAAAATTTTCATCATAAAGTTAAAAAGAAATACTTAGTTTGTACATCTCAAATGCGACAACTTATATACACGATTATTTTTTAACTTGTATTTAATATTGTAGTATATATTTTCATATAGTAAAGTAATTGCGCTTAGTTATAAATTTAATTAAACTGTTTCTTTTTCTGCAGATAAATAAAAAACTTTATATTTAAGTCTCTCTTGTTACACTATCGAAACATTTATTTTGCGTAATTATAAATGTAAATAGTAGTAGATAAATCATTAAATTTTGAATTTTGAAGATTTTAATTATTCAAACACATTATTTATTGAAATGCATGGCTTACTACAACCCTTTTGATGAAAAAAGGGACTTTTTATTTCGTTTGCCCACACATACTTTTTTTAAAATATTATTTGAGTATTTTCAATAGAATAAGATTATAATTGACTGTTTTAGGTATTTAGGTATATTATAACTTTACAGTCTAACAATCACCATAAAAAATATCGATAAGGACTCACCTGACACTTAAAATGCATCTTTAACACTTGACGATTGCCGAGAAAGTGTTCTTGTGAGTGAAAGTTAAACGACAGCACTGTGTAGTATCACGTCTAGGTCTCGGTAACACTCGATTGACTCACTTGGTATACAAAGAGGTTATTTTATATGCATGTTTGGTTTATAGGGGAATCAGATGACGGCAAGGTCCTTGCCTTTGCGTGTGACGGTGGACCCCGTTGGATTTTCCAGAATTTCTCCAGAAAATGATTGTCGCATTCGTATACTAATTATGCAACGGATAGTTGGAAATACTTGCAGAAGAAGAAAGAAGCGTTGCGACATATAGAAAGGATTAACAACAAATTGAAAGAAAATCAGAGTACAATTGTATCAGTACTATTTGTTTAACTTTTTTGATAACTCAAATTAACAAACTTTGTAGAAAGCATGATTCTGATTTTCTAAACAACAAAATATAATATTTATTGCATATTTAAGTTAGGTGGGCCTTATATGCCTCAAGTACCTTAATAATAATATGTATAAACGGAGTGATGCCTTTAACTGAGAGAGAATTTGTTCTTTCCTTTTCTGGGACTATGTTTACCTATGAGCTTTTTTGCTTAAAATAAAATTAGTTTATATCTTTTACATCATTATATGATATTGTAGTTAGTTATTTTAATATTTACCGCCTTCTATTCAATGTATGGTAGAGATTATACTGATGAACTTATAGGTTTTATTAATGTCTACATTCATCTGCGCAACATATAGTACTGATTAAATGATGCGCAAAGTACATTAATATAATAATGACGAAAATTTAATGTTATTAGCATTGCATTAGTCAATGTGGTAATTAATATAATGTTTTCAATTATATCAATTTCAAATTACTCCAGTCGACGGAGGCCGAAAAGTTACTGTTGGTGACATTTTCTTGATAACTCGGAAGTAACTACACAGGTCTACTTTAAATGATGAGTATAATAACAGGCTAATTTGCTGACAAAGTATTTTATCAAGAAAAAAAGTTATTAACAATTTAATCATGAACAAAATTTTTTTTAGTAGTTTTCTTTAAATAACTCAGCGGGATGACTTTATACGAAAAAATGCTTAGGACATGATTTTGTTCGTAATAAAAATAGCTACAAAATGGCGGTGGTCCGATTACGAAATTTGCAATAACAAAGCCGTGAGATTGAAAAAACGGTTTAAAACGACAATTTTTTTAAGTTGCTGTAAAAATGTCAATTATAAACAAAAAGTGATAAAACTTTCGAAAACTATA